AATTATTGAAACCTGAACTTGTTCTCAAGAATCTCGTAGCTCTCCTGTGCTTAAGTCTAGAGATAAATCTGATAGATCAGACCAATTACCTTATTATGCAATTTTGTTAAACTATTTGAATGCCTAATATCTGACACATTTTACTTTCATGTATATAAATACAGGGTGTCTCAGAAATAAGGACATTAATTTTAATCAGTTATAGAGCTCATTGAACTCAACAACTTTTTTTAGTAGAGTTTTGTCAAGAAGTTTTTAATTATCAAGTTAAAAATTGTTAAAGTTATATCCCAATTAAGGTTACCCGCCCATGGATCCTCAGTCGCCCATGGACACTAATAATAATTACAATTAATAATTTATGGTCAAAAACAGTTACGAGGATACGTATTTTCCTAATCTTGTCAATGTGACAAACATTTAGAGAGAAATTGAAAATCCTGCTCCCTAATGGCGTACGGAATTTCATCGGCCCAAATGTGGGTGTTGAACACCTTCCCTCGTGTAACCGACCTCATCAGTTGATGGTATAAGAGATACAAAATTTGCTTGTTCGTTTATTTTTCTATTAACCCACTCACAAAAGTTTTGCCTACATGGTAAGTCTGTTAGTTTCAACAACTGAACTTTCTGGTCCTGAAAGAGGTACATTTGTTCTCTGAGTATCCTCCAAATACTACTCTCCGATACATCACACTAGACAGTGATACGTGCTAGTGCCCGGTCGAGCTTCGATACTCTTCAAAACAGCCTCTTCAATATTAGCAATTCTATTACTACGTAACTTACCCCGATCCTGAGGTGCAGGTTTAAACGATCCGTACTCTCGAAAATGCTGCAACGTTCTTAAAACTGCGCACATTTGGCAGACGACGATTTGGGAGGTTTTCTGAAAAAATTCGTTGGGCGCGAGTGCCGTTTTCCCGAGCTTCACCGTGCGTTAAAACGATATCGGTGCATTCCAGATTTGAAAATAAAGCCATTTCAAGACATTTCGTCTATAAATTAGAAATCTGTGCCAAAAAAAAACTTTAAAGAGACAACGTTTAATAAAAACATTGACATAAAAATGATTGTCAGTGTCAAAACGGTTGCTAGGGTACCTTCTTCATTGTTGTAGTGTTGTTATTATTTAAGTTATTATTTAAGGTGAACATATGGGTGAATATATGGGTGGGAAAATTCGAAATTCGACTTGAGTTTTCGAAAAAATGCTAGATAAAAAAGTTGTTCCGTTTCACGAGTTCTGTAACTGGTTAAAATTAATGTACTTATTTCTGAGACAGCCTGTATAGTCTCGATCAACACGAATAAGGATAGGTCCACCACACAAACCTATATTCGTTTATTCATTCGGTATTTAAAGCTCCTGATGGTAGACTGCAAATAAATGTGGCCTACACCGACTTAAGTAAGGCTTTTGACAAAACTCATCCTTGCATTTTATTACAAAAAATCGAAAAGTTTGGATTATGTGATGATTTAGTTTTAATTGTGAAGCTTTTGTAAATGGATACACAACAATTTGTTGAGTACAATGGTTATAAATCTCAGCCATTTTATGTAAGTAGTGGAGTAGCACAAGGCTCAAATCTAGGCCCACGGTTGTTAGTTTTTCTTTAATGATGTTGTCAGTTATCTACAGTGTAAAGCTTACATCTATGCGGATACCTTGTTTGGACCATTCGCACTAGTGAAGTCCGTTTAATATTTATTATAATAGAACATCGATAGGCACATTGGATACTGTACAAAAATAAATTTGAAATCAATTTAAAAAATGCACATGTATGTCGTAGACACGAAAAGAGAGTTCGATATTTCATTTTAATATGAATGGCTTTGTTTTTAAGTGATGCACTAGTTTATCAGATTTAGGTGTTATCGGTACAACACTAAAAAAATCTTTCGTGTTCCTGTTTAAACTAATTGTTTGTTGGAAATAAACATCATTATTATTAGATATAATAACAAATACAGGAGTACGATATTTTATAAAATTTAAATGAGACTTACTATGTAAAATTTTGAGATAATATCATCACACTATTGGTGGTCATGATTAGACAAACTTTAGTTAGGGTTTTACGATCTACACGATACTCCTAAAATACATAAGGAGTTTAACAACAATCGATCTAGCAGTCATTGTCTGTTTAATAAAAATACATACAGATGAGAGATGGCAGACCGCAGACGACTGACGACAGACAACAGACACTCAGACTGAAACGGGAGATTTATTGTTTCATTCTGTACGGGGTTGAAGTTTGAAAATCGATGACATTACCAACGAATAAGACAACAACCAGCAGAAGACATATGAAGATAAAATTAAATGAAATAATGTATTGCATAAATAATGTAACGCTGGTTACGACAATAGAAGCATTAACAAATAAATTAGGTATACTACTTGCGAGCTGGGCCGAATGTGTGGCTGAAGTTCCAAGCACAGATTTACACGAATATTCGTTTACTTGAAGTGCCACTAAATACCGACACATTTGCAAGAAAGCGCACCTAACATTTACGCTCGCTAAGAACCGAATAACCCAACCGTACTAGTCGGGATTCGGCGAGAATTTGCTTAGGATTCACCGAATGTCAAATGTCTGGTACCGCCTTTACGCTCAGGAAGCAAAAATGTACCAAAGTGTATAAAATCGACCAGAAGAGATAATAATTGTTTTTATTGTGATTTGTACAGTATTTAACTTTTCGTCTGTTCAGCTACACTTTTTTTCCAATAAGGAGACCCTTGTTTTGGCTCATGAACAATGAACGAGCTTTTAAAAGGCATCCTTGAATTTTAAATTACAGCAACAGTGGTAGAAGGGACGAAAGGTCTGTTCTGCAACGACCTGATGTTTCGCTCTTCTCGTGTAAAATACCTATTTCTAGAGCCGTGTGACAACCAACAACTTTTACAACAACTGTGTATTTCTTTCAAATAATAATAATAATAAAAATGTGTTCCAAACAGTATTACATATCTATTAGAGCAAAATGCGAATCTTCACTTTCTTATATTACACGCAGGAGAGTATTTTATCAACTAAATTTTCAGGAGCACCTGAGTACATATCAAATTATTAACCATGAGAATTCATGACACTGAAAAAAGCAACAAAAAATAAAAAATCACGTGTAGTGTAAGTATTGAGAAACATTGGTTACCTCGTTAATTTTTTCCTTATTTGTTGATATATTTATACGCAAGTTGTGTACATCTATATTTTTCAATGTTAAAAATTGTCTCACATGCATATTGCTACAGTTGTTTTCTCTTGCTGTCATCAATCACTCTAATGCGTTTATAAAATTTTGCCGACGCACACACATGTCATGTTTTTATTTTTACATCTCAGTAACAAGACATTTTAATATTTTACTTGTTTCCACATTCGGAATAAAATTTGCGCTGAAAGTGATCTCGGCATTAAGCTACAAAAATTGAAATATCGAATTTCGCGGTGTGTATTTTCTAATTTAAATAATATTGTAGACGTACGATGTCTGTGTTTGACACGACGTAATAACCAATCCAGCTGCTGACATAAATATTTGCTCAGAAAAATATATTTAAATTCTGTCTGTGTGCGACAGATGTTGACTTAATAAAATCAACTTCAATGAATGTTTATTGTGCGTCATTTATCACTCATTTATTTCGACATAAATCAACTGAGTTTTATTAATAAGACTTGATTTTAATAAAACAGTATAATGCTATCCAGTTGTGTGAAAAGGGAGAATTTGTCCACAAAAATATAACATAAAAATTGAAATATGTATAACACTGTATTTATCTAGTTCCCACTTTTTGTTTTCTTAATCTATACCTGTCTATGGTAGTCTTCTGTAGTTTGAACGTTGATACGAAGTACAGTAGACGCCGCTTAATATGATCACGGTTAATGTTATCAACCGCTTAGTGTGATCAAAATGGCTAGGAACGGACCCACGCAATACCTATGCATTACAGTTTTTCCGTTTATTGTGATCAATATTTCGCTTATTGTGATCAATCTCGCAATTCTTAAACACACGGGAATTGCTTTTTTGGAAAAGCGAGACGACTGAAACTAGTATTGTGTTTTAATGAACATTCATTGCTCTCAAAAGGTACTACTCATTTTATACAACCACAGTCAGTGGTCAAAAACAGACTTAAAATCAGTACATTTTCGACTTTTGAACAAACGAATTTTTTCTGTTTTAAATCTGAGTAGGCTTATGTAACAATTAACATGTCGAAACGACGAAATCTCAGTTTATCAGAGAAAAAAAAAATTTTCAGCCCTTACTTAACAAATTTCTACAACAACCAAAGGAAATCGAGGGTTCCTTTCTCAGAATGGTAACCAAAATTTAAAATAAATTCTAATGTTTATGTACCTTCATCTACCAGAGTAATAAACTCTGTCTTGTTCATGATTTTGTTTTGTTTCGAGTTTTACTGTCTCTGATTGTGGTTTTCGCTTATTATTATCAGTCGGTTAGTGTGATCAATTTGTCTGAGTCCCAAAGTGATCACATTAAGCGGCGTCCACTGTAGTTAAGTTAGATAAACGCATATCCGAACATGCATAAACTGAATTTCTACTTAAGGTAGCAGTACTGTCTAGGTAGTAAAACGCTTATAAAATTTGTCAGGTCGTCCTTATGATCTCAAAATATTGCTAAGAAAATCCAATTTACGATGTGCAAAATAATACCTGTGGTTTATTAATTCGTTCTAATTTTTAATTTTAAGCAGCAAACTGTACAATTTATCGTAGAAATTGCAAAACCGCTTGTTCTAAAATTTTTCAAGGGTTTTAAGGTTGTCGTAGACGTGATAAATAACTATCACAACTTATCTAGTCATGACTTCTACAAACTTGATGACTTCATGCGCATTTTCTGTATCGGGAAAAGTCCTGAATTTGACGATTTAACTTACAACGTACTAATATTAGTAGATCGATTTAATCTGCTCGAAATTCGTAGAACAGTGTAACGTCATGTGTTTACACTGCACACACTAAAATTTAAAATTTTTCCCAACATGCATGTAGATCGATTGTGCTTCGGGACTCAAGGGTAAGATAAGTTTGTCTAAATAACTTTAGGATACAGTTTTTGAAATTAAAGTATACATAATTGATCAACAACTGATACACTAAAATAAACAAATTAAATAAAAGCGCATTGGTTGAGCGATCGAAGAGCACTTGAATATTTATGTTACATACTATCCTTTTTGCTTGTTTTCTCTTTTGGATGCTTATTGAGTGGAATTACGTGACATACGTCACCATGAGTTTCAGAGATAGATTTCAATAATAATTATACACAGGCCTGCAAAATTTAAATATTAAAAATCCGTTATGTTTTAATAACTGTTTTGCATATGTTGTATTCCTATAATTGTCAATAATATGAACTTTTTCTATTTCGTAAGATTTATTTGGAAAAAATACAAAAATTTAAAATTTAAAAAATGCACAAATTAAAGAAAAATTAGGTACATATTCATTTTGTATCTGCGTTTTTTTTTATGTATTAACACAAATACTTTTGTCGACTTATCTTTGTGAAATCGTTGTCATTTCTTCTCAAAGGTTATGTTTAATCTTTTTCTCTCAAACTTTCGGTGTCGCCTTTATCGTTATTACATCTGTTTAATATTATTTCTTCATTTTTCACTTGCTTGAATCGTCTGATGGTCACTATTCAATGCACTTAATAGAATATCATAGGACAAGTGTTTGAAATAAAATTTCAACGTTGAGAGTGTTTTTTTTAACGAGCGAAGCGACTTAGAAAATTGGTCGAAAGTTGTTTCGACAGAACTTCCCTCCCTCGTTTCTGAAGTACAATGAAACATAGCAGCATTTTCGAAAAATTATAAAATTTGATTTTGCGAATTTTATATTTTTGAAATCCCCTATAAGTTCAAATAAACATAAGTAAATATGCAATGCTAAAGTAAATGTAAAGAAGCATGTTACGCGTATGTTTCAAATAAGTTTTTACCTTACAAAACTTGTGTCTTATATCAATTTCAACCACTGGAGCCAATGTCAAAATAACGCATTTCAGTGTCATGAGTAGAAAATAGTATATTATTACCCAAGGTTGCAGAGCCAAGCATTCTAGACCGAGCGCAAATTAGAACCCGAGACGCGCAGCGTCGAGGGCTCTGAAGCGCGAGGTCTAGAAGTGGCTTTGCAACCGTGGTTAATATACTATTTTTTTCACTAGCAGAAACCATAAGACAATAAACTGAAAAAATAAACGTTCAATTTTTTGACGCAACATGATTTTGTTTTGATTTCTAATCAAACTTAATCTAAATCTTCAACACAAAGAAAACCGTTTATACTTGTCGCTGAGTTAATCATTTTATCTTCCACCGTCTACCAACTACCATGCGTATACTCAAGTAATGTTTGTAGCACACATTTGTTCATTTTTTAAGAAATAATCACATCAAACATTGCGTACATAACCTCCATTTTTCTTTTTGAACCGGTGGTCGCAAAAGTTGAATTTGCTCCCTCTAAATGAGTTGACATTTGCATGCGTCATGGCTGCTAGTGAAAAAAATATATTATTTCATTTCAAACCCATAAAAGTCTACTCTCGTATTTTTTGTAACGTGATGATCATAAACCTTGTGCACGAAATTTTGCTTTGATTTTTTATTTAACTGTACTTTCGTTTCGTTTGAAATATACCTCATCAAATTTTATAGACCCCATACCCCATATTACAAGAGGCTGATCCTGGATTAACAACTAGGTAGATTCAAGAGACACTGTAACTGTATCAGCTAATAATAGGATTTATCACATTTTCATCCTATCCTCAGGAGTTCAATATTATCATAAAATTGTATGAGGTACATTCTAAACGAAACGTGTATACGGTTTTTTAAAAAAAAATTTACGGTAACTAGCATCCGAAAATCTATCAGATTTATCCGCTTATTTTAATACTGTTTTTTCATCGCAGGCCTGTGTTGTTTTTCTAATTTTCCTAAATCACGCTGACGCTCTGACAATGTAGAAGTTGACATTCAAATATTTGGTTGCAGTTTATAGTCACGCTATATCCACATGATTTTATATACATAAATGCAGTTTTACAAATATTATTAACGACTAAATGTAATCGAACCAAAGCAACAACAAAATTTTAATATACCTAGGTTAATTGAAAACATTATATTTATGAACTCCTGAAGTAAAAAACACAACACTTTTCATCCAGCACGTGCAAAAAATTCTGCCACAGTTTTAACGTTTTTATTATGGATTATGTTCATTTTAAGTAAAATTTGAGTACTGACTTTATAAAAACAATTTAGATATATGATCCTTAAACGCACAACCGTTTTTCACTGGTTTGAGTGAACTGATGTCATTAACAATAGAGAATAACTTTGATAGGGTTTGTATTTATGGAACGTAGGTATCTATCATCCGATATTTCGTCTGATGTTGTTAGCATTCCAGCTTATACTTCTGCAGGGAGGATCGATCTCGGCATGGAGATGGTGTTGCTTTTTGTGTTAGGATTTAATCAATGTCAGAATTATAATTACTAGCGTCTGATTTTTTAAATTTCTGTTCTAGTTGATCATCACGCGTCCGTCAGATGTAGAATTGAAACGGCTAACATAAGCGTCAAGTCTACATGATGTTCACTACAGGGTGTTTTCTGCGGAGGTCAGGTCGTCTAGGGCTTCAGGGATGGGAGATCTTATCAGGTGCAAAAAGATAGGTGGCATGAATCAACCTGAAGCTGAAGGATTAGTGCTGGAGACTGGTAAGTACTGGATAGAGGTAGTTGTGTTGTGACCTATTATAGATTTTGCAGTATTTAGGAATCAGGAAATTCAACTTGCCAAATAGTCACACACAATCAATCTATTTTGTAATTAATTAGATTTATTATGAATCGTAACCCAGATATATTTAGTTGTTCTACTAGGCAGGGGGTTAATGTTAAATCTGTTCAGAAGACGGATATGATTAAAGTCTTTTGGAAGATATGCTCCGTGTTCACAGAACGAGAGGAACTCTGGAAATAAGCGTTGAACAGATTCAATGTGTTTAATGCGGACATCATAAATTGGGTTTCATACAATCGAGCTGTACACCAACTGAGATCTACTTAATAACTAGTGCAAAAAATAAAGTTTTCAAAGTCTGTATCTTGGTGAAATCCTGTTCGTTTCTATACATAAATCCATAAGTCTGATACGCAAAATCAATCACAGAATCCTTTCGTGTTAAATTAGTATTATTTACATTATACTGAAAATATAGAGGTATGTGTTAAAGACAGTTCAATATGATTAAACATTTTAGAACATTTAAAAATGACGATTCCTTAGACACCATTAAAAGATGTTATTAAGGTCCTTTTGAAGAGCGATACGGTCTTTGATGAAAGTTATGATTTTATAAATCTTGCAATCGTAAGCTATCGGTAGACACAACATTTGATTAACATAATTTACGCAAAAATTATGAAAATTATGGATCTGTATCTATGCAAATTTTTCTATGACAACTAGCGGTGAGAAGTAAAAACGCATTTTGTTTAGCGAACGTTGCTCGAGCAAAATCGATATGTGGAAATAAATAGTTTGACTCCAGTTAACACTAATAAATCTGCATGGAAGCAATCTGAACATTTTTGCGTGGTAAAAGCGTATGTTTTTCAAAAAAATACAGCTGCATCGGAACTCGCTGTGACAATAAAAGATATAGCTTTCAATATGACACGATGTGATGGTACAGAATATAAAGAAAGCGTAATCAAGACTCAATGGAACATTGTCGCAAAAGGCCTGCAGAGTGATAGAAAAAATGTTTGTACAGGACAAAGAGTTATTTACAAGGCAAAAGTTTCTTTAATTGTACATGTAACAATTATTGTACCTTTTAAAAATGAAACCTACCCTTTGGAAATAAAAATTTGAAATTAGTGTTATTATTTATCATTTTCAACTAAATGTCGAATTTGATAATGTTACTCTAGTGCAAATTCTAATTACGGCTGAAATTCAATTCTTATTGGTTGTCATGCAGAAATGTAAATGATTTCATTGAATACATTTTTTTGAAAGAAATACTCCACATAATAAGGGTGGAAAATGTTGTTTCAACAGAATAGTGATTCACCTCATTGTGTTGATCATATTAGCCAATATTTAATTAATATTTTCCTATTAGATGGACCGAAAGCACACGAACATTTAGAGTGTGCAGCCAAAGCAGCGTCAACTATACACATTAGATTTTTATTTATTTGCGTGGGTATACAGGTTGTTATGGAAAGGTACGTACAAAATAAAATCGATAATTAGTCTGGAAGTGTAGGTGCAAAAAATAAAAAAAGTTCCGGTAGCAGTGTTTTTCTTTTAGAAATAAAAATTATTGAATTTTGTGTCCAAATTTGTTGTATAAACCGTTTAGAATATTTTTAGACAAAAGTAAGCCATGAAATTTTTTCTTCACGTTGGATTCATTGATAAAACGGTTTGCTGTCAATGTGTAAGACTGACGTTCACTTCAGGCAGATCTGCCATATTTTTTGTTATTTAGAGATCATATTGTTACGATGTTCGGTGAATAAAATCGGCGTGGGTAAACCTCAACAATTTATTTCTTACTAACTCTAATTTACACGACTAACTATTATAGCGATCATGTACAAAATAATTTCGGCGTAACTTCACTGGGTTTTCTCGATACTCGTTGGACTCGACTCGACTGAATAATAATCCTCGTTCCCGAAGGTGGCTTTTATTTAAACCCATACTTCTGAGATCGAGGTCTTTCTCGAATACTCATCGCGACTTCCGCTTCCAGGCTTTTCGAACGCCACTCAGTCGCGTCCCCGACGATGAGTCACCCGTCATTGCCATATATACTAGAAAGCTTTCGAAGGCCCATAGACGTCGTACCGGGATGGCGTATGGGTTTCTTTCGTGACAATACCATCAAGTTGCAACATTTCTGACTTGCTATTGAAATTTAAAATGGCGAAAATTATTTTGTTACAACAAAAAAATTCAATAAAAGATAATGGTAATGAAAAAAGATAGTCCCCAACTAAGCGTGAAGAGTTAATGATGAATTGATGAGTTTAGTGAACATATTTTTTAGACAACTGTTTACGAAACAGACACTTTCAACACTACAATTTATGTATGAAAGTTCCGAATATCATATATATTAGTTACTTTTTTCATATTGGTTATTTTTTATCATATTAGTAACTTTTTATCGCCTTCGATACTCCTTAGCAACATCTGTGGTTCCACGTTTATTTAAACAAATCGAGTAACTAGACAGACAAATTTGACATTTCTTTGACAGTTTTTTGTTCAAATTTTTTATTATGCTACAGTCCTCTAAAAAATAGTGTTCGTAACGCTTTCGAAATTAACAATATCTGCGCACGTGTTTAATAGATCTACTCGTGCTCCGCTCCGCCCCGCACTCGTATATCTATTTAAACTCGCTTGATATTTGTCACTTTCGACACTTGTTACGAAATATACTATCCTGTGACTTTAAAGTTTAAAAAAAAAAAAATGTAGGGCAGTCGGGCAACTGCAGAGAAAATTGTCGTCACTAAAGGCGAAAATTTGAAAAAATCATCTTCTGCCAAGCGAAAACCTACTGACACATTCTCAAGTTATGTATTTAGAAAAGACCTGTAACGACTAATTTGGTAATATAACGAAAAAAATTAGGGGAGTAATATTTTACAACGGACACACCTTTGGCTGATTTGTAAAATATACGAAATTCTCAAGTCAGAGTCAGAGTTACGAACATAGAGAGGCAAACAGTGGCAAAATTTTGTATGAACAGAAACATATTGTTGCAGCAAAAATTACTTGTTTGAGAAAATTCCTCCCATTTCAAAATTCTTGTGAACATTTAACATGTGTGTACCTCAACGAAACTTGGATTTACCAAAATGGTTCAGTACCATTTTTGACGTTTGTAAAAAAAATGGCTTGTTATGTAACTGCTGAAATAGCTGATATGGATTTAATGTAGGTATGATCGAGCATTTGGAAACACTTATGAGGCGTCGTATATTTAGTCTTCGGGAAAATGGCACGTTTAGTCCAAAGACTGCGGATTGTGCTTTCGAATGAACAGAGCGTGTTCTAGATGCGAAGACAGAAATTTTGGACATCGTTTAAGAAGAACCAGGCAACAGCGTAAGAAGATTATCTTACCATGAATGTAAGAGTTTCTCAGTTTGTTATGTGGCGAATATTACATGAACAAGGATTTTATCCTTACCACGCCCAACGAGTTCAAACTTTGAGATCATAAGATCTACCGCGCTGAATGAGATTTTAATAAAGGTTGCTTAAGAGGAATAGGGGAGACCTACGTTTTGTAGAGACGATTGTTTTCAACAGACATTACAAGGAACAGTATACTCAACCTACGAAACACGCACATATGGTCAAATAAAAATGCTCCCGTTATTTAGGAGGACATTTTCATGAGCTGTTTAATAAATGTTAGTGTATTCGCGGAATAGTTGGCAATGATTTGGTAGGTCCTTACATTCTACCTCCTCGTTTAACAGCAGTTGCTAAATCTGTAAGATGACATAGCTGTAGCTACCCGTCCAGGTATATGGAATCTCCAAGATGGGGCACCATTGGTCTTCACTAATTTTCATACTTTTCGAAATTTTATTTATTCTGTATTACCTACTCTTAAAATAAGAAAAAACTTATTTCTGCCAATACTAATTTTTATTACTGCTACAGCTGAATTAACTTAGTTACTTTGAAATCTCAAACAGGAACCCGGAATTTTTATTACAGATTCAGATTCTACAGGTAAAAGTACGTAGGTTTTGTCTGAAACACTTTTTTATATTCATGACAGATGATGTTGTAATAAACGAAATTCAATTTTTTTCGATTTCCCCTAGTGAGAACCTATGCATAAAATTCTGCAGTAAAAATGACGACGGTTTCATTGTAAATAATCAAAAATGAGTGGCCACATTATTGAAGGCAACTTGAATGATGAAATGTACCGAAAGACGTTTTGAAAAATGATCTTCCAACATTACTTGAAAACTTGGGGTTAAAAGTGCGACAGAACATGTGGTTTCAATATGATGGTTGTCTAGCATACTATTTAATGGAACCACATGTATTTGTTCGTGATTTCATTGGTCACTGCATCGGTAGAGTTGGTCCGGTAAATTGGCCTGCCAGATTACCAGATCTTAGTTCGCCAGATTTCTTTTTGTGGGCTATCAGAAATGCTTGCGCCGAAATTCAAGCAGACACATGTCTCAGTGTACATTTAATATGAATTGAATTCGGAGGCCATCATTTTGAGCACTTACTTTAACTGAAAGATGATGAGGCAAGGGGACTCATGTAACTTTCAATCATTTAACACGGTTGTTGGTTCTACACTGAACTATGTTTTAATTTTTATAACCTGTGTGTATCAGAATCAACGAATAAATACAGCGTGTTATTGGAAGGTACGTACAAAATAAAATCGGCAATTGGTCTCGAAGTATGGGTGCTAAAATTAAAAAAAAATCAGGTAAAAGTGTTCTCCTTTTAAAGATAAAAATTAGTAAAATGTATGTCCAAATTCGTTGTACGCCTCTGATAAAAAGATCATCTTTCGTTTCTATAGCAACATTTAGTCTTGACAAAAGTTGTATTGTTATAGTTGCTAGGATTTACTAAAATAAGTTAATTTTCCCCTTATAATTTTGATAACACAAAATAAGTTTTTCAGACTTCT